AACCCTCAACCCTAAACCCTGGATCCTAAGGATGTTTGGTCGTTTCCATTTGTTTCCACTCCCTTTGAACCAGCAGAAAGTCTGACAAACCCCCCGCCACCCTGAACCCCAAGCCCAACGCCCTCAACCCTGGACACGAAGCCTCTAAAACCCCAGGCTCCTAAATCCCTAACCCCTTAATCCTAAACCCTACGCCCCAAACCTCGAATCCTAAGCCTAAATCCCAAAACTGCTACAGCATAAGCCCGAACCCTTCCTGGGGCTTCCTGGGGAACAGGCTCCTCCGGATGCTCCACCAATTGATCCAGCAGGAAATCGAAGCTTGAACCTGCAACAGGGTTTGGGCTTCAAATGTTTAAGGTTTGAAGGGCTTTTAAGGGTTGCGTTGTCCAGGGACGTAGGGCTTGGTTTAGTGTTTGGAGTTTAAGGGTTTGCTGTATCAAAATGAGGCTTTGAGGTTTGGATTTTGGTCTCGGGTTTGGGTTTAGGATGGCAGTCCGGAGTTCAGCGGCTTCAGTTTAAGGCTTTGGGGCTTAGGGTTGGGCTTTTCTGCTCTACGGTCCAGTCACGGCCCCTTTGGCACGCCACCTGAAGCTATAAGTGCTGACTCTACTTCTGAGCTGGCATACAGCTGCCAGTAGTGGGCTGGAGTTCAAGAGCAGACTTCTGTGAGAGAATCCAGAACCCTAAACCCCAAAAGCCCGAACCCTTGCACCTTTCATGCTGTTCGGAAAATTCATGATGGTTGTGGGAGGCCACTTGTCGGATGCATATCCTTTGACAAACGCTCAATTCAGGCTTGCTGGTGGTTGCTAGGGACTTGTATAAATCATTTTTAGTCATCTGGCAAGTCTGGGGTAAATTGCTTGCCGGTGGTTAGCCTAAACCCATCAGGCAGGTCTACAAGAAGCCCCTCTCTTGTCACTCAGGGCCCAGCAATCAGCTACAGGCGCTGTCTTCAGAGCACCCAGCTCGCACACGACCTTAAGCCAGGAGATGTTTGGGTTCCAGGCGCTCGTGGCTTGCCTCCCGGAAGGGATACTACAGTCCGTGCAACACATGTTGGGACGTTGAAAATTGGGTTCCCTTGCCCTTGTGTAGTCCCAGGCTTTCCGCAACAAAGCACCTGAACGTGCCCATACTCCAGAATTCCAATACTCAGCCTCAGGACCTCTGCCGGAAACTCCAAACCTGCATTCCCTGCTCATAAGCCTTCAACCTGCTAGAAACATGCTAGAAGCCTCGATACGCCGATAAAAAATCGCGGAAATCTACTTGAGAGATTCTGAACATGCCCCTTGCATATGGCCTTATGTTGCCAAGTATCAGTAAAGTCCCTGAGCGGTACAAAAGCTTGACGGTTTAGGCTTTAAGGCCCCATGCTTGTTCACAACCTTTCCGAGTTTCCAACGGGAGAGATCATCGCCTCGGAAATGAGCCGGGCAATCACGGCGCATGAAGCTTCGGGTTTAAGGCGTTGGGCTCCAATTGTAAGGTGCAGAATGAAGCTTGTATGTCACAACAATAGCGCGCCAAATCATGAACATCAAACTTACAACAGCAATTTGAAGAAAGCTATGCAACATTTGCAGACACCATAAGAAGGATACTGTTATAGTCCCCCGTAAGAAGATAGAATATGGCTTTGGGTATACTATAATATGATCCCCAATATACCCCATATTCTATCTACTTAAGGGGGGCTATAACCAGAATCGCAGCCCTGGCCAACTCCAGGCTTCATTCCGCAGGCACAGCCTCTGCACTGGACCGGGCTTTGACATCCGACAATTGCCATCTGGCGCCGCGGAGGAGGCTCCTCATCAGAATGAGCGAAGGCGGGCTGCATGAGGGTGTAAGCTCCAAAACTCATCGCTCAGCGCGGTCAGCTCCTCAACCTTGATGTGTTGGCATACCATCCCTCGTACTGGGTGGGCGCCCATCCAGTATACTCCCACCCGGCCTAGCGCGCAACCCTAAACCCTAAACCCTAAACCGTGTGGCCCTGTTTCAAACCCAGTCACAAAGCCCAAGCACCTCAAACTTCAACCGTAAACCCAGCGACCTGCCTCCTAAAGCCCAAAACTCGAAGATCTGCCCTGGAAACCTCGCAGGGGTTGAAGGTTTAGGGTTTTGGCGGCTGCAGTTATTACGACACCTGTAGACTTGAGTTACTATGAAAGGTTAGCATAATTACCTAGACCATTTTGAGGGCTTCTTGCAGAGACATAGAAAGAACGTGGAACATGACAATCTTTGTTTAATTCCCGTTTCACCCTACACCCAAACCCCGAAACCTAAACCCTAAACCCGAAACCCTAAACCCCAAACCCTAAACCCTAAACCCGAAACCCTAAACCCCAAACCCTAAACCCTTCACCCCAAACACGTGCCAGGATGACGTTGATGCCATCTGCAAGGTCTAGCCTTTCCTTCTGCTGTCTTGGTACACCCCTGCAACGCAGGGCTTCGGGCTTAGGATTTAGGAGTTCCAAAAAATTAGGGGTCTCTTGAAGAGTGGATGTAGGGGTTATATAGTTGTATATGGGTATATAGTGATACCTCAGGATGAAAACTTAGGATGTCTGACAATTAGGGGTCCCATATGCCCTTTGATGTGACTTTAAAGAGTCCTTTGTATTGGTAGTTTCCGCCAATAGAGGGCTGCTTTTTAGACCCAAACTACGATGATCCTCATTATGGGGACCCTCAGTGAGGTAACCCTGATTTTTGGAAGCCCTGCATACCCATACATAATCCCACCCCTACATACCCTGAAAGACTTGCGAAGTATGGTGGGAAGTTGAGGAGTTGAACATGTGAGGTGAAGGTAGTCTCACCCCATGTAGGAGACCATCTACCTCTACTCCTGTCCTCTGACCCGATGATTTCCCGTGAGGGCTTACACTAAACCCTAAACTGCTTTAGGGTTAAGTGTGTGGGGCAGGGTTTGGAGACACCCAATATTATACGGGGGTGTCCAAGCATGGTGACTTTTCGGCATCCCTGCGAAAACAATTAACACATCAGGGAATGCCGCTAAACCCTGAACCCTAACCTAAGATAAACTACATTGCCTTCAGCCCTTTCTCACCGGGACCCTCAACCCTCAAACCTGAACCCTAACCCCTAAACCTTCTGCCTCCAGAAATCCTTTGTAACCCCCAGATAATCATAGGGTTCCCAAAGGGCTCTTGAGTTGAAATCTCCCCAAAGCTGCAATCCCTAATCCCTAACCCTAATCCCTAAACCCTCAACCTTAAGACCTAATCCCTACCTAGGCCCCAACAGTAGGTAAACTAATCGCCCAAAACCCTTAAACAGCCCAACCGTTTTCTTTTCTACATACTTTTTGGAGTCCAGGTAACCTCTAAACCCTTTTATCCTCCCCAAAGAACCCTAAACCCTAAACCCTATAAACCCTAAAAACCCTATAAACCCTAAACCCTAAAGCCTATAAACCCCATAAGCCCTATAAACCCTATAAACCCCAAACCCTAAACCCTAAACCCATTCAAGCCCTACCTCGCCGGATCGAGTATGCTACTCTTCCCCCCAGCCGCAAGCTCGGCTAAGCGCCGACGCCTTCCGCTCTTCAGGATTTAGGGTTTAGGGTTTAGGATTTAGGGTTTAGGGCTTAGGGTTTAGAATTTTGGGATTAGGCTTTAGAATTTGGAGATGAGGATTTGCGATTTCGAGATGAGGGTTTAGGGTTTGGGGACTGCTCTTCTTTACGGATTTAAATGGCCATTCTTCTGATTTAAGGGGCTCAAGGGTCCAAAGGATTAGGGCCTGGGGCTTAGGGCTTCGTTTTTGGCTGAGGGTTTGGGGTTCAGGGCCTAGGCGTCTGTTCTGTTGGACTTACGTCTCATAGGATTTAGGGCTTAGGGGTCTATTGGATTTAGGGTTTGGGCTTTGAGGTCTGTGGGCATCAGGATTAAGAGCTTACGGTTTGTGGGCTAGGGAAGGGTTCTTTAGAATTTAGAGTTCAGTGTTTTGGGCATAGGCGTCTCAGGGATTTCAGGTTAAGTGCTTAGGGGCCTAAAGGATTGAGCAGGGCGTGGCCCCTCAGAATTCAAGCAGGAGTATCCCAGATCAGTGGGCCCTTAGGGACCCTACCTAAAGGGAAGGCTCAGGGGACGTAACTAGGGTATACTCTAGTAGGGCCAACCCCACTTCGATTCAGGAACTCTGTAAGTCACTTGAAACTTGCTGAATTCCCGGGTGCGGTTCGCCTTGAGCATTCGCTGAGGCTACGCCCAAGATGTTAGGGCTTTGCTGGGTTGCTGTTAAGGAACTTAAATTAAGTTACTAGCAACCCAGTTTGGGTAGGTTCTATGTAAGGTATGAAATGTTAACTGCTCCCACCCAGATCTACTCACCTCTTCCTCAGTCCATGAGAAGCCAAACTGTCAAACATGGAGGTCTCCGCGGTATCCCCACAACAACGAGATACCAAAGGGACACACAATACAACATGCAAGGCCTAGGATTTAGAGCTTAGGGGTTGATAGGGTTGAGGCTCAACGGTTGAGGGCTCAAAGGTTGAGGGCTTTGAGGTGTAGGGGTCCCAGGAGGCAGGGCTTTAAGGTGCAGGGCTGAGGACTCCGTCTAGTTTAAGGTGTTTATAACCCCAAAACCCTACAGGGTCCATAAACCCTATAATAATGCTGAGGGCACGATTAAGGCTTTAGGTTCTTAACGCCGTGGGTCACTTCTCACAGAAACTTATCAGGGCTTGTGCAATGTAAGCCCTCAATCCTAAACAAAAAAACATCAGTTCTCACGGTTTCTTCGCACATTTTGAACCACTTATGATGAAGGCTTGTTCGAACCGTGGTGTCACTATCGCTATGGCTTTGGGTTTAGGTTTAGAGTTTAGGGAGTGTTGTTCTGTATTGTTGATATTCTTGGTGCTACGCATCTGAGTAGTGGCATTTTGATGTTCATGTCTTATTATGGCGAACAATTCGTGAGGGGTGTACAGAACAAGGAGAACTCGGATGGGAAAGCCACCTGGTTCAGAAAAAATGGGATCTCTAGAGACATGCTATCTGAACCATTGCACCCACAACCCATGGGACAACGATCCGGACTGCAAGTATGAGTTGAAGAGTTCAGGGGTTGCTTGCAGGGTCAGGGGGACTTAGCAAGTAGGTGAGTCATCCCTACAATCCATGTGGTAACCATAGTTATCCCTATTACTAACTCACTTAAGGAGTCCCCCTGACCCTAAACCCTAAACCCTTAGTCATAGATCTTTCAAGTAGGGGTTGCCTGTTTTCGAGAAAAATGAGGTTATGCTCCAGACTCGGAAGACGCCAGGGGGCTGGTCCTAATCGATGGATGGACCTTTAGGGTCTAGTGGCTTACAGGTTTAGGGTAAGGGCTATTGGTCTAAGGGTTTAGGGTTTGGGGTTGAAATCGATCTATGGACCTTCTTAGGGCCAACGCAGCAAAACAGAGCTGGTTGAAGATCCACGCAAAGGATTCGGCGAGTTTCTTTTGAAGGTTCGAGCACAAGTTCTGGGTAAGGGATGCACATGCACAATGCTGCCCCCGAACCCTGAACAGGGGGCGTCAAGGCGCGAACCCTCAAACCCTGAGCCTTTCCTGAAACATAGAGCCCGAAACCTTCAAACCCCAACTTGCTGATGGGTAGTCACGGAATACGGGTATGTAATTCTATAATCCCCAAAGGGTCCATGTAGGTATATGGTATATACTTAGGGCCCAAAGGGGTTCCCATATACCTACTTTAAGGCCCAAGTATATCCCATATACCTACATGGACCCTTTGGGATCCAAGCAAAGTTCTCTGATTCTTTTGCCTTCCAGGTGAATGTCCCTCAGGTCCGGGGAAGGGCAACAGCTGTGCTGGCGCAACTAGTGGCATGCCGCGCTGAAAATCCTGTGCGATGTTGCTGTGAGACTTATGGGGGATTTGTAGGGAATTATACAGGGATTAACCATCAGGAAGGAGAGTGCTTTTGGTTGGTTTGTTTCTTCGAGGATTAGGGCCTAAGGTGTAGGCTTCAAAATAGAGTTTTGATATGACGGAAAGGCTTTACAAGTTCCAGGTATACGTAAAAGAACAGCAGATGACTAGAATCTAGACTAGAATCCATGAAGGCAGCAGCGAGAATCGCGTAGGTGGCAATGATGATCAACCCGGTATGGTACAGAGGAGTTATGGAATCCATGGATTAGTTTCTGGCTTCGAAATTTGCAAGCCGTCAGGGCTTGACAAGGGATCGAGAGATCCACGCTTGGGCTTCCGAATTTGCATGGTGTCCCGGGTTTGGCAGGAAGATGCGGGTGGCTACCAGACGCACACCATAGCTGCATCATTTACAGCAGGACGAATAACTACCCTTCATACACATCCTCTTCGCAACTATTTCATGAGGCCTGAGCAGTACTAAACCCCAAAGCCTACCCTAAACCCTGGACCTTACAGCCTGAACACAAGCCTTGTGTCCCTCTACCCTGGGCTATTGGTTTTGCCGATGTTCATCGCCGGGGAGATAACTACGGTGTGTTCAAGCTTACCTTCAAGGAATGGAAAAGAAAATTGAACTACTACATTCGGATAGACAGGGACTACTATACGGGTCCATTCCTTCTTTTCTAGCTAACCAAAAATGGGCAAGGAGGTACGACCTTCCGCCGCCCTAAACACTAAACCTGAAACCTTATCCGAATTACGTCATGTCCCCAAATAAGAGGACTCCAATACAGACACTAAAATGTCCTTATTTTGGGACCCCCCAAAAAAAACAATAAACCAAATTGTTGGAAACAGCTTAGGTCATGTAAGTTCTAGGTCCTTGACAGTTACCATCCGCGGTGAATTCCCAGCGTCTGGGTTTCCTGGAGCCAGAGAATCTCTACCCTACACCCTAAACCCTAAACCCTAAAACCCTAAACCCTAAACCCTAAATCCCAAACCCTAAACCCTAAACCGCGCCCGAAACCGGTTGGGGCTCAGGTTCGGCTTGGGCCCACCCTACACCCTAAACCCGAACTAACCTCTAACCCATAAACCCCTACCCTAAACCCTAAACCCTAACCTCTAACCCATAAACCCTAAGCCCCTACGCCCCTAAACCCTAAACCCTGAGCCCCTAAACCCTGAGCCCCTAAACCCTAAGCCCATAAACCCCTAAACCCCTAAGCCCCTAAACCCTAAGCCCCTATTGGGGTGACGGGCTTGGGGCTCAGGTTTCTGGATCCCAGTTAGGGCCACGGTGGAGTTTGGGATTCTCGGTCTGCTTAACGCGCAAGGCCGGAGCTGAAGTATGTTTTTCCGGTTTAGGGGTTTAGGGTTAGGGTTTAGGGGTTTAGGGTTTAGAGTTTAGGGTTTAGAGTTTAGGGTTTATGTGCAATGTCCTATGTTCCGGCTATGAATGTCGCAAAGTTGCGGCTTGAGAGGGCGTAGGAAGAGGATTGCT